TCTATAAACACAAACTGGTAACAATTCACTACATTTATACAAGTCCCGTGCATAAGGTGTATAATTCTTTGGTGTTTTCTTAAGAGACAGTAAAAAAAAACGTAATAATTACCACTATATTTTGATTAGATCACACACACTTTGGAAGACTATGAAAACGTTATTAAAAGAGAAGAAAAAAAAATTGTCTGAAAAAGAAAAAGTGTTTGCATAAATGCTATTGCTCGTAATTTCAGTACGTAAATCACAAATAAATCTATTTTTTGTTTCTCTTACTATGATAAAAGAGCGATGGTGTTCCAATATTATTAATTTCCTTAAAATAATATTGGCCTACTTATTTATACTTCAAATATGTTCAAATTGTCTAATACGAGGTCTAATGTACACCGATTTAGAATTAAATTGTCGTTGTTTTTTATAATATTTTAAACGTGTTATAATTATTTAGAATCAGGATAATATTTACAACAGTTTTAGGATGAAGAATATTTTAAAACTATCGATCAGTCGTAGGTATAGACGATATTCAAATATCAGATAATGCACAACTCTAATCTTCAGAAATGTAACATAATATAATAATTATGGCAGAAAAATGAGCAGTAAACAGATTGCTAAAACAACACGTATACGCGGTTATAAATATACAATTTTTATATTTACGGAATTTTTATTTGTAATAAAAGGTATTCATAAGATTAGACAAATTTACACGAAGTATTTGGTGTTCTTTTTTGGTATTACATGCTAAAAATATATAAATCTATACCGTAACCTTAAAGTAAATAAGTACAAGTATGTACAGAGAGCTTTTAAAATACACTTAATAAAAATATAGCGACCCGCGCTACAATAAAATTAAAGGACAACACAGACAAAATTTACAAAAACTTTTTTTCATAAAACTTATAACTAAAGCTTGCGAACAGGATTATAACAGCGGGAGCGGAGCGTTAATGGAAACTGAGCGGACAGTAAACTACGTTTGTCAATATATGCCAAGTTCTGTAGTTAATTGGTAAATTCTCTTTTTTTAATCCTATCTTTAAAATCTAAAGTAACAAATGATGCAATCGCAATATTTTTCGATTGTACATGTTGTATTTACAAATGAGTAATCATTTAATTATAATGGAAAGTTAACAAAAGTTATTTTATCAATTACTAACTTTCCGCCAGCGGCTTTGCCCGCGTGGTCCTGTACTATACGTATAAACCTTTCTGTTCTAATCACTCTGTATATTGCTGATACTGCTTACAAGCGGCGGGAAGTAATTTTCTTTTATAAGTATTATGTATAGATTGCTTCTTAAAGTTTTAGGTTAAGCATTGGGAAAATACTAGGTCCAAAATACAATTTTACTAATTATAACACTTTAAAGATGTCAAGGTAAAGTTTTATTACTTCTTAACTGTATTTGCATATCATAATTATCAATTTAAACATCTGAATCTTAATCAATCGATGGCGATCGATGTTCTTGCTACAGTTTGTGTAAGTAGGGATTTTGTCAAAAATAAATGTTGAAAAGCTTCTGAGTAACCATAATTATGTTAATACTCGTATTAATAAATGTATTAATTAACGAGCAAAATAAATAAATTAATTAATAAATATTACCAGGTTCTTCATTCACACGATATAGTTTTGTGCTTATAGTGGTTGGTTTGAAAACAGTGGAGAACAGCAAAATTCTTCTCAAAGGCGCGTGCATCAAATGGTATTGTAATATAATACTGCAGATATCTTTACACGGATGCACGTCTAGTTATACACCATTGCCATGGTGCTATACAGATGTTGTAAACATATATATAGTTTGATGAAATCTAATAGATCGTAAATAGCGTGAAGATTCCGCTTCCGCTATCGCTCTGTCCCAGCTGTCAGCCTTTCTCAGCCTTATACCTAATGTAAACATATTATACATAATATATAGTGCATCTTATTGTTTGTGTAGTGCTTGTTTGTTTGATAGGCACAGAGGCACAGTCATTTATTATTATTCATATAGTATTAGCCTACAGTAACTGGTAAAATTGTAACTATTTCGTAGATGTTAAGTGATTGATTGGATGTGGATATCGATATTCAAGGTCAATCTTACTTGTAACATGCTAAGCATGGTCTTTTTGTGATTTATTATATTCTGATGTATTTGTATTAGCTAAAGAGGTATTTATAAAGAAGACAGCTACGTCAGTTTGCAAATCATATAATTAAAGACACTTTACGTAATGACTTGCCACGCATGTATTAAAATTGTTTTCAATTCATTTTGAAAATTTTTAGTATATATTTGAATATGTTACAATTTTACCGCTTTTTAATCACCGCATCTTTACAATGAATTTATTTAATCATTATGAATGAAAGTGCGCAATGAACGTTAAAAATTATTGTTCTTATTATAAGAAATATATAATAAAGAAAAGTTATAATAATTGATAAAAAATATGCGTAATATTGCGGTATACATAATAAAAATCGAAATAAGCAAGGAAAAACCAAGTTTTTTAATTATTTTATATTTATGGATGGACGATAAATATAAAAAAAGATACAATTTTTCTGAAATATAACTTGAAAAATAGTATTATTATATATTTCTTATAAACAAGTGCAAAATATTTATTATTTCGAATGCGATTGATGTGACTCTGTGGTTATAAGTTCTTAGGATTTAGCAAATAAATAGTTGAAATTTTACTACATATAAATATTTGTACGTACCTTAAGCGTATGGGTGATACTGCGAGAACTTTCCAAATGAAAGAATATAGGAAACCTTAATTATTTTTTCGTTTTAAAAATTCAACGCAGATTTTAGAAAATACTAAATAACACGGCTAATTATCAAGAATAAGCTATGCTCACAAAATTCTTAAACAATTTTCTTTTCTTTTTTAATAATTAAAGCTATAAAATTCCTTTAAGGTTATATTTTACAATTGATAAAGGAATGTTATTTATTATAAGTATGTATAATCATTTCAAATCCGTTAGTGATTTTGCAGTTTTTTAAATTTAAATATACAGTTTCTACGTTTGCTACGTAATATATTAATAATCCTATAAAACAAAACAGTTTTTTATATCTTTACAGTATCATTTTTTATGCAAATCATTACTATTTTAAGGTCATCTCATATTTATTTGTTTTAACAATATATTGTTTAAATAAAAAAAAAAATACTACATTATTATCGATATTTGATTAGTTGAACGAATAGTGTTGTACAACACTGTTTATTAAACCGAAAATTATTTCATATTGTTATACATAAAATAGAAGATTTTATAAAGATTTCTATGTATACTACTAGACATACTTTTTAGATTTGAAATTGCGACATACATCCAGCTCTTTAATTAATATTTTTAATCTTCTGTCTGATCGTGCCTGCTCATATTATAAAAAACAATATGCGCATGTAGGTACATAATTAAAACGTTTATCGGTCACATTACAAGTGTTAATATCAAGATTAAATCCATAATGATTATATGCAATATATAAATAAAATTTATCTAGTAATATACATAGGCGTTTTTCAATTTTATAAGTGACATAATTGAATTATTTTTATTTTATGACTATTTCAATATGAAATGACCATGGCACTATAAAACGCCTAAATGTCCTAAGATATTGATTTATTTACGACGATTATATTGTGACTACTTTCAATCTATTGTTTATTGTGTTCTTTGGCTGAAATTAGCAAAGGAGTTATATTTAATTTATTTTGGGAATATCTAAAAAGGTCTAATTTAATAAGACTAAACAGTAACTTACATTTTAGGTACTGCAGGAAGGGTTAGTTATAATTAAGTTATAAAACAGGCGGAAATTACACCTACATAATTTCCACCTGTTTTAAGTATATAATAAAATGAGAATATATTCGAGTTTTTTTATTGATAAACTTTAGTTTGCCATTTCAAACTTTGTTCCTATAAGGTAATTTTTTATTAAATTTGATTAATTTTGCATTCACAATGCTGTAATGGAAAATAATCTTATAGAAATTTCAGAGATGTGATAACGAAAGATTTAATTTTAGAATTTTTCATTAAGATTTTTTTTTTAATCATAAATATACTGAAAGTCTACATAAATACACCCAGGTATATTCTTTTGAAATTCCCTTTACGAGACATTCTACAGAAATAAATGTTTAAAACAAAAACATATTTAAAGATGGCAAAAATGTCGGCAAATATATACTTGAAAAGACAAGTACCTTTAGATTAGGCGAACTGTTTTTATTCTCGCAAAAAAAAATGGAGACAACTTGCATACAATCTTGTGCAATAGCTCCAAATGTAATTGAATATTAAGAGCACTTAATCCCTATTCAATGCCCGTTGTACCATTGATGAGTATTTAATATTAGAATAAAACCAAGGGTTACAATTTGCAATGTATTGTTTTTTATTTCACAAAAATGAGTATGGTAAGGTTTTATTAGTGGTCTAGGAATCAAATCAAGTGATGGTTCATGTACGATATGTTTTATTAGACTGTGCCCAATTAATATTCAACATAATAATAGGAAATGAATCGTGAATTTAACCGACTTAAATATACTTCTAAAGACTTCCAAATTATTTTTACTTCATTACATTGTAACAAACTTCTAATTATATTACTATAACAAACTCAGATTTTAAGGGAAATTAATAATGTTACGCTCCGCTTACTTCTTCTTCAGTTTTAATTAAATCTTTTTAATGTTTTTCCACTTTAATCAATGTTTGAGAGTTGCGTAGGTAATTATAAAATCAAGATTATTCTCAACGGTGGTGATTTTAATAATTTGTAATGTATAATGGATACACTTTACCTGAGTGAGATGATGAAGCGTGGACTTTTTTTTTTAAAAAAGGCATTTTATAATTATTACTTGTATAGAAATTATCAATAAGATTTTATTTTTCTTGTGATAACTCAGCCAAAGAACACTTTATGAACATACAAATCGATAGAAGATAGGTAAGCAATCCAATTGCCACACTAAGAGTCCGAATGAATGGAACTTATCTTACATTGTAAAGACCCGGTACTGCTCGTCGCTGAGCCAACAGTATGCGGTTGGCAACGCACTTGTAGCAGCACAGGTAAGCCAAACATCACTTAAACAATATCCGCCTAAACGCTCTTCTAAAATCTTTGTTAAATATAGTATAAATAACAGGATTCAGTACAGAGTTCATGTATCCGAGCCAGAAGGCTATCGCGAACGCGTTGGATGGTATAACGCAATTCCTGCAGGCGGCTTTTAGAATATACAAGAAGAAGAAAGGCAGCCAGCAAGCGATGAAACTGCCCATAATCAAGCCAAGGATCAACGTGGCGCGCTTCTCTTTTTTTCTGGCTAATCGTTTCTTCTCTCTCTCCGGATCTCTGGGTTTGTGAGGTTTTGGCAACGCTGGCTCAAGTTCCGACTTGCTCGGTTGCTTCTCTTGCCGCTTGTCCGTCTTTTTGAAGATTCGCAGCTTTAGAGGTTTGACGCCGCCGCATCGGCTAACGACGCCGGAATCTGAGGAAGAAGGTTCTAGTTCAGATACCATGTCGACGTCGATGGCAACGCTGGGCGCTCGCCCTCTGGTCTGTTGTAGTTGGAGCTCACCGTTCACAGAGAAGGTAGAACTTCTATGAGGGCAGGATGCTAGGGGATTCTTCATCACTTGCGCTGATGTGACTACCTGTGGAAAGAGGAAAACTTGTGAGCGATCGAATAAAGACTTCATTCTCTATTTTTTTGTTGCCTAAGTTTAAGAGTAAATTTGTTGTTTTGAAAGGACACCTTATTTTTTGTTTTTAAACAGTCTCTGTGGTGGACTGATATGCCCGGATGTATTATAATCACCATCCTTGGGGTCCTGAATTAGATTCTTGACTCATATAGAAAAAAATCATAATAGAATAAATAATGCTTTAAATAATATCAAGACTGGAAGGTTGTGTATGATTCTACGTTGTTTAGGATTTCCATAATTCGAAAAGGGTCTGAGCAGTGCTTGTAGATGATATTTATTTATTGATCAGACTAGCTTTCTTAAATTTCTGTTGTTAAACATTGATCCTTCTTTCTTTACCTTAAGGTGATCTTTTCTTTCGTCCGGTGGGGGCGGTGCCGTGTCCCCCGCTTCACTGGTGGATATGTCGGAGGCGAGATCGCACGTGACTGTGGGAATTTGGACCTGAGGCGTTTCTATTGTCGATATTTGATTCTCCCTGGAAATGTAGATAAAAAAATATGTCACAGCAACATAGACTTGGAAATTCTATTGTGCTGAAATCTGAGATGATTAAACCTCGTTTTTTACCTGACTAAAAGTAAAAAGGGGGGTTATGATTTGGCCTGTATGTATTTATGTATATAATGTTCATCCGTTTCCTTATATCTTCGGAACTACTCATCGTAACTGGACAAATGAAGTATCATTAGAAGCGTTTAAATGCCCGCGTGCTATAGGCTATGTGACGTTACATTAAATTGGCAACAGCGCCCTCTTGAAAGAATAAAGTGTGAAACTAAAAATAAAACATTATTCAATCACTCCGTGTAGGGTATAAATAAAAGGTCCAAATTTTTTTGCTTGCGATATGCATTATACAACTGAAAATTAAAAAAAAAAAGTTCAAAACCTAAAACCCGACTACAAATAAAATACGTTAAAAGTTTGAAACAAGAAATTTATTTGATAAAGATAAAAAAATTGCTTGTTTCAATATTTTTTGAGCGTGATTTAGCTGTGGTTTCAGTTTTTTGAACTTATTTTTAATGTTGTCAAAGAAAGAAATAGTCGTAACTTTAGAAAAATCTTAATAATACGGGCTGCTAACAAAATCAGTTATTCAGTTAATGATAATGATATTATCGTTTTATCGGCGAGTTTTAGTTGTAACTGTCGAGAGATATTAGCAGAAGCCGATAATCTAACGGATTTGAATATTAAGTAATTATTTCCAGCTAAATTAGCAGTCGTTAATAGCCACTAATCCGCACTGGGGCCGCGCCAGTTCTTAATTCTGTCGATAAGGAAGGGCACATATAGGCTGATGACGTTGATTGTTTACCCATTATTGTTGGTACTAAGGTGACCAGGCGGCATGGGGTGTGTGGTGGGCATTGGCCTCGTGCCTTTGGGCGGATTGCTGAAGCTTGTCTGCTGTTCGTTCTAGAAGAAAATATTGAATTAAGTCTTAAAAATATAGAACAGATATAATTAATTAAGCACTTTCCGACGGATAGTATTAAGGTTATATTGAATTGGATAATAATGTAGTAAGGCAAAATAGGATATCTAGAGGTTGATCTCATTATTCTAATAAAATTTTCAGTAGGAAAATAATAAACTTGTGGAAACGAATCTGCAAAGATAATAATAAATTTTCCCGAATATTTTTGTGTTGATACTAAAACAACAATAATACGGAAACCTATATCTCTTGACTTTGTTTTATGTGTTTGGCGCAGATTCAAATTTAATTTTCCATTTTACAATTCCTTTTTCGATAGTTAGCTGTAAAGACAAGAGAATTTAAAAAATATAGAAGAGAATTTTAATAGAGAATTTAAAGTCTATATTAAAAGTTCAACTACGCTATTACTTTACCGGATAGTTGCACAAACGTCCATTAAGATTTAATAATGTCTCTAATCTCTAATGAATGACAAATTTGAATCGGTAATGTCACTTTAAACTAATGACAATTTAATGGACCTTTGTGCAACAGGCTGTAAGGAAGCGTTTCTTAAAGTGTACTTCGAAGGACCACAGAGCCTCGCAATATACTCGTATGTTGCCACAAGTATATCATCCTCCTTCTTCGCGCAAATTTTCATAGTTAAAATAAAAGACGCATGTAATTAACTTATTAATAAACAGGTTAGGTTTTATTTTATTTTAGGTGTCCGTTTCAATATTTCGTCTCCAAAATGGTTAAATCTCCAAAAAAGTTTGAGGACATTGTGCTGCAAGGCAACAATCGCTGTAGAAATCTAGGACAATATTCTAAACAAACCATAAAATTACGGTAACATCCATTATGTATGTAAAAGAAAATTGGAGCTTTTGCGTGCACAAGGTAATGTCGTATTCATTTAAATTTTGTCAGAATATAGCTAGGTACGTACGTATCAAGCATCGGCAAAGGAGTTGTTACTTTGTAACGAGAAAATACACGAAAGACTTGTGTTTTGTGGAAGTGTTATTTTGTATTGATTGATCGTATTTATTTCTTATGCCATAATCAGGTTCTCGTCGCCTAATTTCACTCATTTGCATTAGGCAATTGGCATGCATACAAAGACTTTCTTTTTTTTTACTAAAGACTTATCTGCTCATTTCGCATAATTCTGCCAATGTTATGTAAATAGATTAATTTATGGATGTGAAATGAAAATAAAATAAATGAAAAATAGCGGCGATCTTCCCTTTTATTCTTATAAGTGTCAAAAAGTTTTCAAATTCTATTTTGTTCAAGGATAAAAGTCAATGCTGATAAATTTAATTGAAGTCCCTGAGTAGTGATGACCTAGAATAGTGAGCAGGAAAGTATTTTTTATTCATTCATCGCGGAGAATCAACAGCTAACCAAACATCATAAATTTCAAACATAGTAGCAATAAGCCAATTACGGTTTCCCGTATATAAATGATAGAGATGAAAGCTAGATGGCGTAGTGGATAAGCGCCGCGGGCCGCGATCTTTGTTGTTAAGCAACTTTCGCAAAGGTCGATCACGGGATGGATGACCAAAAAATTATTATCACGAGCTACTTCGTGCATCGGAAGGCATGTTTGTTCCGGCTGCATTTACAGTCGTTAATACCCTCCAATCCGCATTAGGTCAACGTGGAGAATCATGGCCCATCCTCTTTAACCATCCACAAGGAAGGCCTGAAGTGGGGATGTAAAAAGGGCTGATGTATATGAATGAAGGTTAATCCGCAAGATTTTCCTATATCATCGGTAAAGTAGCAGGTTGATATCTTTAGAAGAAGAAGGCATTAGCTATTACTTACAGGTCTAGGCCTAGGGTTTTTCCTAATGCCTCTTCTGGCTCGTGCCTTCGCCGCGAAGTATATCCGTATGTAGACGAACACCATGATGCAGGAGGGGATGTAGAAGCTGCCCAGGGCTGAGTACACCACGTAGCCGATATCATCTGACACCTGGGAACAAAAGATCATATAAATAGAGCGAAATTAAAACTTGTTTGAGCAATATTCTATGGCTCAAGATATATTACAGATTGTCAATACATTTTAGACTTTATCCAGTTTTATCTGAACTTATGTAATCAAAACATTTGTTATAAAAATTGAAAGCAATTAAAAACCTAATGAAGAGTTTGTTTCATCAATTGTTTCGACTGTTTTCTTAATTAGCAATGAAGGTGTTTTTAATAAAAAAATCATTGTAACCATAGAAATCCTAAATATAGGGCATGAAAAATAGGAATCCAGCTGTCTCTCGATTATAAAGAGAGAGAAAACGAGAGACCTTAACTGTCTTATGTTAATTGAGTTTTGGATTTAAACTTTTAATTTTATCTAAATAATAAAAAAGAGACCGATGTCTAGAACGAGATAAAATATATTATGAATATTTACACGAAGAATACATTAAACACTTTCGTAAACTGAAACTGTCATTGCGACATTATATTTCATTATGTCTAAGTTAATAAAGTGCCTCAATTAAGCCTTTAATGGCAGTAATGAAATTTCGAAACAGATTTAGTGAGTTATGTTTAAATCATTTAATATAAACATTAAAAAAAATATTGAATTCTTAGTGAAAAAATTGATTAAAAAATCCACTTTGTCCCTGGCACTCTAAGATGGGTCTCGAACCCCGGATTCATCATCGGTCATCGCAATCCGGGCAACTGCTCGAACCTACTAACTACTCTAACTTTCAATCCGTCAGACTATGATCCATCTATATGCACTCGATTTTAACTATTTGCCAGTAGAATCAATTTACTGTGATCTGAGTTTAATCCGATATGCGTTTCCTGATTAATAGACCCTCGTACCTAATGGAATGATGGAAGTGCAGTTATGTTATTATGTATGATTTCATCTCGACATGATTGGAAGTTGGAAAGGCTACATTTTATTTTCCGCTTTTAGTGGCTGTTTGAAAACTGTCTTATTTTTTACGGTGAGCGTGTTTTGTCTAAGTTTAATAGAATGTCGAGAGAAATATTTTTTTCTTACTAGTCTTAACGGAATTTGCACGTCAAAACTACAAAACTTTCAGTTTTAATTTAAGGTTGGTTTAATGTTTTATCTATTTCTATATTAAACTATTTTTATATGAAACTAAAGCATGAACGAGTAACATCCATAATCTATAACTACTGGATTCTGTCGTAAACAACGGAGAAAATAAAATGGACACCCATCCGGAGATCTATGTTGCAATATTTTTTAAAGATCATAAAATCAAAAGTGCTATCCATTGCATCGTAAAAGCTCTATGGTTCTATATTTAGGAACCAAGTTGAAGATATTAATATTCGATTTCATCACCAGCCTATTAATATCCACAATATAGAGGCACAGGGTTTCTCTTTCAATGGATGCGAATCGAATAAAAATAATGGGTAATGACCCATCACGTGGGCCCAGTGCGGATTGGTGGTTGCTAACGACTGCAGATGCAGCCGGGACCAAGGCTTAACGTTTTTAACTTAAGGCCTTCCGAATCATGGACGAGCTCGAGATAATAATCGAAAACCGACCTTTTATGAACATGCTAACCACAGTGCCGTCAAGCTCATCTACTGAATATTTTATAAAGTCAAATATAAGCCTTCGTTTTATTCCTTTCTTACGCATAAGAATATTCGATTTTTAAGCAATTATTTATACTATGTAGAGCTCATTTTTCCTTTAACAAAAGCGGGAAATATGCTAATTTAGTAACCTTAAACACAGGAGCTCCAATACATTATTCACCTGTCCAACCCAATCCACATACAGGATGATTGAAAATTTCCTCCTTTCGTATAATCACTAAGGGTGTGGTCCAAGTCATGGTCGTCGGTATACATTTCTTTTTATGATAATGACCTAAGTTACCATTCGATATACCTACATTTCTGAGATACAACTCTCAATATATAAATTTAGAAAAATCCAACAGTTTGTCTCACGTAGGAAATATGGAAGGTTTTTGTTGAAAATAACGAAAGACTTTTACGAGTAGTAACATAAAACTATGAAGTATAAGTGAATCAATAAAACATAAGTTTTCTATTTTTATAAGAATTAACTATGTAACATAATTATTAGTTAGTTTGTACTAACATACATAAATAATTAGTTGTATTCCTGCGACTTCGCCCATGTAAATTATATTAACCGCCTATATATTGTATAGCGCATTATGATGTAGATGAATGTTTAAAATTGGTCTAGTTGTTTTATAGTCATTTCGATGTAAACAAACAATCAAATATTTTCTCTTTATAATATAGGTATAGGTAATGTAATCGTTGTACATCTTACATATACAGTGATATAAAATTTCCATTATGTTATAAAGATTTTCATAATATTATTATAAAAAACCTTTTATTGTTTGCATTGAATAGGCAGGAATTAACTCGGCTCGGATCGATTTTAAAAATTATTTTACCGACGGGAAGCTACATTATGCACGTATGACATAGGTAACGGACGAGGTAACTAAAATAGTAAAATCCAGCTAATAGAACGTTTTTAACAATATTGGCAATATTTTGGAACCTTACAACTGCCGCTAGTAGTGAAATTGAGCGAGTGTAGTTGAAGTGAGATCGTAATCGCTTCAGCTTGTACTCTACGCCATATCGACACTTATTTTGAAACTTCTTTTCAAAGAATTTAATCTTTCGAGTCTATTGTCCGTACTCTTTTGAAATATTGGCCGAGCGACGTATGAAAAGTGAGTGTTCTTGTATGTCGAGGGCTCGGGAATCTCCCTAATCTAGATTTATATAAAGCCCACTCGGATTGAATTGAGGGTTCGCTTGCCTTTTATGTATCGTAGACAGATAATAAAATCTTACATTGTACTCGATGTTGTATGTGTTTTTATCATATTTTTAAGCTATGAATATCCAACGTAGTAAAGAGAATACTTTAAATGAAAATGGAAGCTTTAAAGTCACTCTTATTGTTAAAATAGAGTGTCTGAATGGATTTTACAATGACCTATTTGAAATCATAAAAACAGGCTGGAAATGTGTAACTAACCCATTTCTTTGTGCAGTACCCTAAGCCCTAAAAACTTGGTAGAACGAGATTTCTCAAAGGAAAGAAAAGGTTTCTACAAAAATGTGGCTTTTTGGAAATCTAAAACAGCTATGGTATCATAACAAAATTTTTCTACTGACCGCGAATCGAACTCGGGACCTCAGATTAGGCTATTATAAATATATGAAATTGCAGGAGAAAACATTTCACCCTGTCAAAAAACCTATACTTTATACGGATTTGTAATTCGTTACGATGTGCCTTCTTTATATTTGTAGATTGTTCGGTTCCTTTGCAAAAAATATAAGGTGTTGCTATTTTACTAATGTCATATTGCTATAACATAATTCTATAATGAAGTCGACGGATTGTCGTCACTTTAATGACCTTAGTAGTTTATGATTATATAAACAGTTCAATATAAATAAATTAAAATAACAATATAGTGTTCAATACGTCCCATTAGACGTGTACCTATTCCCCAATATATTTGTAGTTAATATTATTTCAGTACGGTGACTTATATCCATAGATTAAACATAGCTTATTTATACTAGTTTTAGGCTATAAATTTAGGCAACTAACGAAGAATAAGAACTAATCATGTCTATTTAACTCTCAATTAGTCAGACAATATGTAGTCTCTCATTTATGTTTATTATGAGGTATTCCAGATGATATGAATTTTATGTATCATAGAAAAATAAGTCGATCGTCTCATTATTCATAATTTGATCAAAAATCTTGACTTTTCGCTAACCAACTGAATTTTTTGCAGCTGCCTTATTGGGGTATATTTCTTAACAATACTGTCGAATTTCATAAATACTTATTATCAAATATTTACCTAATAAGCGAAATTTTCAATAATATGGACTCTGTAATATCAGCAAGACTTTTTGACAAGCACTTGATCTTCTACTTCTTCTTCTTTTATTAATGGCTTATCTGCGCATTTCGCACAATTCTGTCAATGTCAAGTGAATAAAGATATTTCTACATGTAAAATGAAAATTAAATTAATGAAAGATGGATTTGTACAATACAATATAATATAATACAATTATAGTAATATGTCACAAAAATGTCAGAGTAGATTTACCATAGCTAAAGATATTTAAAAAATCGATTGTTTATGCTTTATATTCTTTTAATGTCTTCAATTGATTCGAAACCTTTATATATTGACAATTAGATTAAAAATAGATTGCAAATATGTGCCCTTATGTATTTTGTTGTGGTTTTAAACTCTTACCAGTGCAGCGAGATTCGTCTAAACAAAAGTCCAAAAGTAATGTTATCTATATAACTATTTCATGGGTGTGAATTTGTGAACTATTATGATAAAATTTTCAAAGTTGAAAGATTTTTACGACATGAAGAAGCATGAAACTACATGAAGATGATGAAATTGAAACTTAACGTAATTATGACAGCTCTTTTTCTGAGTGTACGGAGAGAGGGGACGAAGAGGGACATTTGCTATAATGGTCCATGTCGTAGTAAAAGCAAAGGGTGCCGATTTCGAAGCCCAGACGAAATTTAGTTGACAAGCCTAAAAGTGCCGTCCCATTTAAACTATATTGGAAGGATAGGGATGTCAAATTATACACTGTCTCTTTAATTTTAAATTGACCTTACGCGTTTACGAGTTGGTTCTTAAAAATGCCTACAATACAATCCTTTGAAAACATCAACAAACTTTTTTTAAATTAACGAAAACCAATTGACTCCTTCGCATAAGAGATTTTTCATAAACCTATGCCTAATTGATTTACAGTACTTTAAGTTTGAAAATTAAAATTAACTTTTAGTGACTTTAAATTTAAATGAACCATACTATATTTATGTTTTTTAGGAAAATTCTCTTAGACTAATAAAGAAACTTTGTCTTTTTAAGTGATAGAATTACTGAAATTGATACGAATCTTCAATTTTATCTTAGTATTAAGGTAAAGACAAGAGTCGGTGTTACAAATGGAACGGCTAGAATTACTGTCATAGCTGTCTCTGAATTTTGAGCTTTATAATCATAGTTACTAAGACCGCATTCCCTTTGGAGATTTTGTTGATTACTCCAAAAGAATATGGCTGTTAGAAAATAACGGCTAGGGATTTGTCGATGTTTTACTTTTTCTATCATATCGATAATCTTTGATCCTTAATTCGATTAAAAGTGTTTGATTAAAAATATATTGTGCAAATTTATTTTACGTGTGTTGTGTGCAGTCACAGATACGTATAAACTATGTCCAGTGTTATTTAAAATTCATTGGGCATAATTATTATAAAACTGACTGAAATCCAACGGAGGAGTGAGATGTCTAATTCAGTATTCAATATTTGTGTATTTATTAGGTCTAATTTAATAAAAAGATTAGGTGTACTTATTTTAAATAAATGCATTTCAGACTTAAATATGTGGAGTATTTGCTGGATTTTTCCAACATTTAAACACAGTTTAGAGTATTTAGTTAATGAATTCTTACTTGTTTATTGCCATCCTGATAAATTTTACATTGAAAATAATAAATTGATATTCATAATATAGAAAAGTAATTAAAGAATGAGCCTTGCTGAAGTATCTTTTTAGAATAAATACTTAACATTTATATTAAACATCCTAAAGAAGAAGACTTCCAATAAATATTCCAGTGAAGAATATCGATAGTATAACGATCATTTCCCACCACTAGTTGATGGCAGTTTACGCGGCGATGCGGACAGTAAAGGGGATCGTCGCATTTTAGCGTGTAAGTGAATTCGTGACCTCTATGGTTATGCTATTTGGTGAATGGAGCTTCATTTCTATCCTGCAAATAATATCACTTATAAATATGTATTTGGAGGTCATATAAATTTATTAGTTATCGTTTTTTATGATTATAGAGTTCAGAATAACTATAAAAATAAAAAATTATGTTCAGTGAAAACATCCATATTCGCAAATTGTGACTTTTGTATGTGTAGTTAGGGGGTGAGTGTCCTGATATTAGCTACCGCTTCTCGGATCTCAATTTCCATGAGAGGGCAGGGTTTAGGTGGTTAAACCTCTGGGAACCCATCGGGCAGCTCACTGCTGGGTTGGCGAATGGAGGAGAGTCCTACACTCCCTCTTGGTTGTCAGATACCAGGAGACAGTGCCTAGCGCATTTTCTTTATATGGACATCATAAAGGTGAAATATGATTACTCCTGTTGAGGATACTAATAGGTACATTTTCTATTCACAATGCTATATTGATATCTATAGTATAAATTTTATGACTGTTTAAGAAAATCGCTTGAATATTATTAGAAAAGCCTGGGTAAAAAAGAAATATACCATTTAGTCCTTCAGTATGATAATAGAAAAATATTTAACACTTACTTTTTTGCTTTAATTTAACATGAAATAGCATTAATAATAGGCATTAAAATTGAGGAGTAGGGGGTTGCTTCGTCACAATAGGGATGATGACTGGGTAAAAAAATGCAATTCTATTTAGTCCGTCACTCAGATAATAGAAAAATACTAAATACGTATTTTTTTACTTCATTTTAACAAGAAATAGCTTAGATAACAGGCATTAAAGTTAAGGAGTGGGGGCTTGCTACGTCACAGTTGAGTAGAAAACGTACCATAACGTGACGTCATGCGAAATTTCATTTCCATGTATCGCCGTTATTTTATGATTACGAAAAAAAAAAAAAAAAACCGTGTTTAATATTTTTTAACACTACCTGACGGACAAATAAACAAAAATTAGTCGACATCCCTATTATATAGAAATGCACAAAAGTGTGACGTCATAGGACATTTTAATTTAATGTAT